GGTATAAATCCGATGCTCTCTATAAATTAAATTCTCCACTGATATCTGAACATCAGGTGCCAACCGAAGCGTGCGGATGCATGTAAGGGCAGGGCAAGAATTAGTACAGTGTTGTGTGTTATCATAGTCACAATGCCCCACCTACTCCCCCCCCCCTCACCATGAACCCTTATATCGTAAGATCTGACAGGACATCAAAACTTTATGGCGAATTTCTCCAGCATAAGAGCGTTTTAATGAAGAACCCAAAGAGGGGCGCCGTCAACATTTGATGGTGAAGTAGATAAAGCCCATCTGCGCTTGTAAGAGAGGAGTGAATGATTTTGCATTTATACTGTAAAAACTTACGTCAAACTAATCTTCAGCATAAACCAGAGACCAGTAGTACATTTACGGTGAAGCGGACCTGTGAGATATGATTTAAAGTGCCTGTGGTGATCTACCAGCTAATTGCCTTGCACTGTGTGTAATTAAACAGACACTATGTCGTTTTGCTCTATTGACTGCCAGCTTTGAGCAATGCATTTAACCAATTTGCAAATGAATAAGCAATTAAAAGAAAGTTAATAACTATGAACCTTCTCAGTCACCTGAATGATTGATTTCTTGCCTCAGAAGAGAAGATAATGTTATTTAAATTATTTCTACCATATGTATCTGGAATAGGAATTTACTTATTGTCAACAGCTATTAATACTCTCCAATTCTCATCATGGTAATATTTTGTTTAAATATTTAATAGTCAAGGCTTGAAGAAAAATTTTAATCCTGTTTCTTTCTTCCCTAGCTTATATCTACGAACAGAAGTGATCACTGATTGGAAAAAAAAAGTTTTCATCAGGCTGTTAAACAAACATGTAAGTTTATGGGGGAAGTTTCCAGTTCAATGGAAATGCTCTATCTAAAGTGGATGCATTCATGATTGCCAATGTGTTTGTCGTTCTGAAACGTTGATTTGTGAATCTAATGTTCCTTTATCATGCATTTCTTAAAAGTATTCTTTACAGAATCCATTGGCATTAAATGAGTATGAATTTCAAATATATAGTTATACGTCGTTTCCGTTTGCAAAAACTGGTTACAGTACCTTTCGAAAAATGACTCAAAGACTATAGCGGGTAATGAACATACGCTAACTTATGTGTTAGCACTGTTTAATTTGCATAACCCTTCCGTAGGATCATAAACAAATATTTTAACTAAAGTTCGCTGACGTACAATAGAATGCATTTCTCGATGACAGTTTAACATGAAAGTTCAGAATGAGGAAAGATTTTCAGTACAATGGGGCGGCAACAGCATGGTTAATGTCGAGTGGTTAATGAAAGATCACTTTATTTACCTTGTATGTAACAATTTTTCCAAAGCTGAAATATAGGTGAAGGAAAACTAAACTGACGATAATTGTATAAGCCAAAATAAAGTATCAAAGCTCTTAAACTATAACACTTAAGGAGGTATTGTAATTCGATCGAGTTAAATTCATAATATCGATAATAAAGGTTCAGAGGTCAGTTACACCAATATGGAGTAAAAGCAGTTAAACGTAACATAGTACAGAACAACGTCTTTATTTTCTCCATCGTAACCGGGCCAGTGACTCTCATGCCGACCGCCCGCACGAAGCCCGCGCGCCTCGTGTCGCCAGGACAGACATTAACGCGAACAATTTCTGTCAACTTGAAATTAGTTGAACAGATGGCTAGTTTAACGGCGTTTATCTCATTTCCCAATCGTATTGTCAAAGCAGTAAATTTGAGTCCCGGCCAAAAATACTTGCATCGGTCTTGTGCACGCTAAGGTGCCAAAACTACAGCCGTCGAACCAAGTTCTCATGTATGAGGAGTGAGTGAAGACAAGAATGTACTCAAAGGCGACCGTACCCTTTACGACCCCGATTGAAATAGGAACCGTAAGCACGAGGCAACAGTATATAAGTGGGTTCTTCCATGTGTCATTGTTTCCTCTCTCAAAGTTTCATGTTAAGAGTTGACCTGGAAAATACGAATTCTGTAAGTCAAAATGAAGATAAGGTATGCCGGACAAGGCGCAACGGAATCGGGTTGTAATTGTTGTACGAATTAGACTGCAAGGGCGCTAGACTGAGGCAATAAAGAATGGCTACAATGTTAAAAATTGAGCAAGATCAGGTTACTTATGAGCCAGGCATTCTACCTTCTGAAAGGAAAATAATGAACCATTTGATACAAAAAGTCATTCATATGAACTTGCATTTAGTCCTGTTTGCCGGAAGGAGTGTGT